GTTGTTCTGAGTTAATATTCTCAGGTTCTAGCTTGCTCTTTTAAATGCATGTTTTGTGATAGTTTCGCAAGTTCTAACTATTCCATTGCCTACATTTCTTTTTTCTTCAGGGAGTGCTATATTTGGATGATGAGTCTTATCTTCAATATTTGCCATTTTCTCTCAAATACATTTTTACCTCTCCACTTTTTGTTGCTATTGCCTTTTAATTCCTTCCTGTCTTATAAGGCATTTATTTGTAGTATTTGTGGTGTGTGTGCATAAATATGTGTCAACATACAGGACTTGTTTTTATCTAATATTCCCTCTGCTTTACTTGTTTCTGAAATGTCTTATTTTTTGGGTTATAAAGCTTATATCTGAGTTTTTTATAATTCCAATTTATGGGTTTTTTTGAATAGTTTATATATATATGTTGCCTATGGCTTTCTGTAGTTTTATTGTCAGCAGATGTACTGATTTTGCTGGATTTTGTTTTCCTTGTATCTGTCTAGTATCCGCACCAAGTAACCAAAGATTTTTTTATTTGAATGTGTTGTATTATGCACAAACTATGCTGAAATTGTAAAAAAAAAACACCAAAAAAACCAAAAAACCCCAACAACAAAAAAAAAAACAAAAAACCCCAACAACTTCAGCATAACAGTTTATCTTGGAAGTCCTGTGTGAACATCTGTATTGATGACTCAGAAGCAATAGTAACACTTCCAGCATGACGCAAGTCTTCTTCCCTGGCACATCCGCACCATTAAAATGGAGCTAGTCTCAGGCAAGAGTGTCACTTTTAAGAAAATCTTTATACATTTCTTTAACTTCTGTTTTGATGCTGGGGTTTGAACTCATGGCTTTCTGTTTGCCCTCTACTACGCGAGTCATGCCTTGGGCTCCTTCATTCAATGGTTTTCCCGCATATTGTCAATGGAAGATATGCAGGGATCATTTCTGCCCTGTACCAAAGTACAGTCTTTGGAACAGCACTTGGTAATTGCTTTTGAGTTATTATTTCAAATATCTACTTTATTTGGTAGCACGGTGTCGGTTGAAATAATGAGTGGTAAACCATGCTTATTTGAGCCTTAGTATATTCTTGAGTTGAAACAAAGTAAAAATGTCAGACATTAAGACGTTTAATTAAATTGACAAACTACCTTTCATTAAAATGGTAATTTTTGCAGTATTATTTTTCCCTGCTGAAAAAAGGTGAAGGAAAAAAAAAAACCTGGCAAGTTTAAAATTTTTAACGAGCAAAAAAGATGCGCACTTCTTAGAATTAACTTTGCCAATATAAAAATTCCATATAACATTGTGTGTTAATTTAAATCAATATAACTAATGTCTAATAATTTTATGGTTTTATCTCAACTAATGTCCAGCATTCTAACCATTCAGATCGGTCAATGACATGATTCGATTACTTCAAGCAAACCCATGGATGTGGTATGTATGAGCTTGTCCATTCTATTTTTTATAACCATATTTGATGGCAGAAAATACCTTACATAGAGATCCATTGGTTTAAATATGAGTTAAAATCTACCAAAGGATCAAATAGTTTAGAAGATTCTTTGACAACAGATCCTATCTCTGCAGTACATGTCCTAACATACGTAAACCATAAGGACCAGGACTTAGTGGAAGAGTTACAGCTAATGTAGTCCAGTGTTTGAATTTTAGACACTGGTGGTAGGAACAGGGGAACAAACCCTCCACAACCATTTTGCAGGAAGTGACTGCGTAGGTCTTTTAATGAGAGGATGTGTAGTGTATGCATTAGTGATGTTTTGATAGACAAGTACCAGTCTCAACAGGTAAATTCGGTTTCACCAGACTAATAGGGCCCTGAAGAAGATGACCAGGACAAAGAATCATGCTTCTATCTTCCTCAGTCTCTCCCACCTGAGCACACGATCCCATGGTTGGAATGTTTGCACGCCACCGCAACTCCTGTGTTGAAGCCTAATTCCCACCATGATGGTGTCTAGAGCTGGGATTTTCCAGGGGTGATCGGAGATCTCAGAGCCCCTCGATCCTTTTGTTAGAAGAGCAGAAATAAATAAATGAAAGTGCACATCTCTGAGACAGAAGCATGCTCGCAGTAGACATCAAATCCGCCCTGGTGATCACGGACTTCCTGCCTGCAGAGAAGTGATCAATGCATTTCTGAGTGTTTATAGGCAACTCCATCACGATGCTTTTGTAAGAGTAGTCTCCAAACTGGTACTCACACAAAGGGTAACACTTATGGGTAAGTTAGGGAACACACACACACACACACACACACACACACACACACACACACAGTGACACTTGGATACGTTTAACTCAGTTCTATCTTCAGAAGATTCCAGAATGCGCCAGTGCAGTTTTGTTGCTGACACTCATTTCTTCACTGCAAACACGAATCGTGATGATCACGCGTCATCATCTTGGTTTTAGCATTATTGCAGATTTAATCCTAAAATGTTTATTCCTTCAACTGTTTACCTCTCTACTACGTTCTAATGGAACCCTGCTTCTCCACCGTTCCTGGAGCGTTAGCACACAGGAGTTGCTTTATGTGGCCTTCTCTTACCCACGGCCAAGACATCACTGCCAAGACACGAAGCAGAATCAATATGAGAAAATAATTCCAATGACTTGGTAATAAAACATGTTCCAAATGTTCATGAGATTAAATGTATTTTTTAGCACATTTCAGTAAAATACAAGACAATGAAATATCAGTACTTTTATTATTCAAAATTAGGATATCTGCTTGGTGGCATATTAGTAATAGTAGTAATGGTCATTTTTTTTCTTACCAAAGTAACTTACTTAGAACACTATGGCTATAAATAGTCAATGTTTAAATATACACACATATTTTTATGTACTACAACCCATGCTGATTTCTATACACAAGAGTTTTTGGTATCTCATTGGCATTTGGGTGAGTTAACTCTTTTGGGGGAAGTTTTTTGGTAGTTTTTTTTTTATAAACATCCTATGTCTTTTCCTATTTTTCCACTTCCCACCTCTCAGTTATAACACCAAAGGTGTCTCCAAATGGTACAATATAAAAATTCAACTATAAAAACAGATGATTTATGTCCAAATATTGTGGTGTTTAAGTAGTAATCATTATACTAGAAACATGATTTGCCATTATTTAAAACAATGGTCAAGAACTTTGATAATAGTTGATGATCCATTAGCTAAATGCTAAAAAGCTAAAAGGTTAGGAATGTAAATTAACACTCATCTTTTTTTTCTTTCACATCTCTGACTTTATCTCAAACACTGCTAAAATTTTACTTTACTTTTGGAAGACTGTGTTAAATTCTTGATGACTAGATTAAATGACTGGAAAATGTAACCACACTTTAAACAAATGCAAAGTACATGCAAACCAATGTTCTTTGAAATTCGACTTGTGCAGACTGGTGGCTTTTTACTTTCACTTCGGACTATGACTCTACTAGGCCTTTTCCAACCCTTTCCAATCCATAGAAGCAGTGCCTTTTTTTTTTTCTGTTCTAGGTACTCTAATTCTCATAGCTTCATCAGTTTATAGGCAAGAATGCCAGTCACTGGTTCTAGTGAAACATAGTGCATTTTATGTCTTCCTTTTGTTGTTTTTACCCAGATTGTATAGCATGAGTCGAACAGATCTATTTAGTGAGCCTTGCAGATAATGTGTGTAGCTTACTAACCGCTTGCCTAGTCTCTGGTTTAGCAGTAACAGCTCAGGACCCATCACTGCCAGGCCCCCCCCCCCCCCCCGCCCCCCCCAGCCGGGGGCTTCTGCTGGTGACTCCGTGTTGTGTCACTTGTGTGTGTGTGAGGGGGGAAGGGTGGGAGAACCCGTGAAATCAAACTGGTGGAGGCTGCAGAGGGTGCGGGGTCCTTGCAGCTGAGGCTCTGAAGATCCAACCATAAAACGGATCTGTAGTCAACACAACAGCGTGTAAAAAACAACCAAAACCCCACTTCTCCGCCTTGAATACAGCGGATGCCCTCCCAACTTCCAGGTTTGAGTTCTTACAACCCCAAGGATGATCATCAGGCTCACCAGCTCTGTCCCTGAGGTCAGGCCCACCTGGTCACAGGTGGACAGACAGACCCACAGGACGTTCAGGACAGTGGACCCGAGGACAGGCCCACCTGTTCACAGGCGGACAGACAGAAAGACAGACCCACAGGACGTTCAGGACAGTGGACCCGAGGACAGGCCCACCTGTTCACAGGTGGACAGACAGACAGACCCACAGGACATTCACCACAGTAGGCCCGAGGACAGGCCCACCTGTTGACAGGCAGACAGACAGACGGACAGCCCCACAGGACGCGGGGACGGCGGGCCCGAGGACAGGCCCACCTGTTGACAGGCAGACAGACAGACAGACAGCCCCCACAGGATTTCAGGACAGTAGGCGCGAGGACAGGCCCACCTGTTGACAGGCGGACAGACAGACGGACAGCCCCACAGGACGCGGGGACGGCGGGCCCGAGGACAGGCCCACCTGTTCACAGGCAGACAGACAGACAGCCCCCACAGGATTTCAGGACAGTAGGCGCGAGGACAGGCCCACCTGTTGACAGGCGGACAGACAGACGGACAGCCCACAGACGCGGGGACGGCGGGCGCGAGCCCGGTACGACACGGAGGTGCTCACAGCTCAGCTGAAATGCCTGAGCAGCCCACACTAAAACGCGGCCACCGGTGGGGACGGAGTCCGCTGAGGACGGGGGACGTGGGGACGGAGTGACGAGCGAGGAGCGGCCGCCGCGCGCCCACGGGGAAAGGCCTGCCATCCTCGTCGCGGTCATCATCGTCGTCATGATCGTCTCCATCCTCATCCCCATCCTCGTCATACTGAGGAGCGCCGGGCCCCGCCGGGGCCTGCGTCCCCACAACACCCGGCGACCAAACAAAGCGCTGCGGCGCGGCGCCGCCTGCCAAGGGCTGGCGGCCGGCCAGCCAATCAGCGCGGGCGTAGCGCGCGGCCGCCAGCGTCTCCATGGTTACCGCCACAGCAACGGGTCCCCAAAGCCAGGCGCTGTGCGACGTGGGGAGGGGGGCGTGGCCACCCGCTCCGCTGGGAGGGGGCGTGGCCTCCTCACCTCACCCAGGAGGGGCGGTGCCGGGGTCGGGCGTGGCCACCGCTCTGGTGGGCGGGGCTGAGCTGGGGTCGGGCGTGGCCACCGCTCTGGTGGGCGGGGCCGAGCG